AAAATACATGAAAAACACTACTGGTGGTGCATCAGCCTGTGTTAACGGTTTAGGCTGGCAGGGCACCAGTGGAGGATGATAAGGTAAATATGAGATCTGGTCCATTAACCCATTAGAACATAATCACCAGAAATTTGTCATGATGGTTTCCAGAGTAAGCGCGTAGAGGACGACCTGACATGGTACATTGCCCAATCCCCTTTCTCCTCGACATTGAATATTTGACACGATACCCCTCATACATTGCTATTTCTGAGGACTAAGATATCATGCCTCGTATCCTGTAATGTAACTTTAATAATAAAGTGTTAACATAATTTATTTAACTACAAATGTGAGCCGCTTGTACATACACTGAGGGTATAAAAACTTTATGCTAGGCCAATAAAGAAGTAACTCATAAAGCTTTGAAGACTTGTAATTTATACATTTTTTTATATAGTATCTGTTATACAGCAATAATGTCACTGTGATATATCTGTGTATGAATATCTGTGTATTGATATATAAATATACATATAAGAAATGAGTTTGTTGTAGGTATTGTACATATATTTTTGTAAACTAATTGATTATGATGAAAATTAGTTTAGAGATAGATAGATTCCTGGAAACTACTATGGTCTACTTTATATCGCGAATAACTTATTGACTTCCAAAATTTTCTGTATTGCGTAATAATTTTTAAGCTATTCCAGATATACTTATATTGACTACATACTCCTGGAATATATACCTACACTAGTCACTAAGAGCAACTTTGTCTACTATTTTGAGATAAAATATTCGCTATTCCGTCCACATGAAACTATCTTCACGTAAAATTTGAATATTATACAATTCAGGTAATGTCATATTTGTATATTAAATAATTCGGGTAAAGTAGGGATAGGCCAGTAGTCTCTTAATATGAAAAGAATCACCCACAATCGATTTAAACGACATTTAAATACATTTCCCTTTCTATCATAATATTAATTCTTGTTCTAAATTACTTTTTAATGAATCTCGCGATTTACCGATAAATAACTGAATAATTTGAATGTATTATATGGTTTTTGATGATTTATATTAAATTTTGAAATGTTAAATACACAATATTTATTGCCTTCAATAGCGTTTACAGTTCAGATGAATGTAATTAGTACATTTAGACGAATATGACACTGTTAGGGCATGCAAACAGAGGAAAATATTTAGTTATAATTTATTGTTATATAATTATATTATTATAACAAATTGTAAATAATTAGTATTATTTATAACATATAATTTCATATTATTAGTTTCACGTTAGGACATTCATATCTTATCTTAATCTTAATAATATTATAAACGCGAAAGTTTGTATAAATGGATGTTTGTCACTGTTTCACGCAAAAACTACTAAACAGATTTTGATGCAACTTTACAGTAATAAAGCTTATACGTCAGAATAATGTAGAGGCTATAAATTTAACGTGGGTCAAACCGCGGGTACAGCTAGTATTACATAAAAAAGGATATCATTTAAATATTCGGTTAAAGTATTGTTCTGTTTAATAAATAGTAACTCCTTTATATATTTTATAAATAGGTTATCCTTACTCAATAATCTTATAGAAATTGGGAGTTGATTAAATATTTTAACAGATGATACCAAAAGGCCACTAGAATTGATCGAATTGAATACAGTTGATCAATATTTTAATTTTCCTCGAGGCATTCAAAGTTTTCAGAGATTCTCGGAATGAAATTGCACAACTACAAAATCGCTACAAATTATCTACTTAATTACGAATGATATAATAGCGTAATTTGTATACGTAAATAGGTATAATGAAACCTATGAATAAAAGCAGCTGTTGTTTCTTCAAAGTTTCCTTGTATCGTAATGAATTGATAAGTTTATTTTGTCGTTGTTTCTGAAATCTAAATATTTTCATAAGCAACTGTCAAAAACAGCAGGTTGTCAGTCAATTCAGCGAACATAACACAAAAGACATCGCCCTCTTTTGTATATATGTATGTACGTTATGTTCGCTGAAAGATAAAGGATTGAACCATTTCGGAGCAAAGAAATCAAATGAAAATATACAAAAATCATATTCAATTACCAAAATGGAACTCAATTGCTGTTATGAAACTATTATATATTATTTTGACTTTAAGAGCACTTTTTACTTTGTTCAGTAACTAATATTTTTATACTCTATAATTAAAGTATATAGATATATATATATACACATACATGCAATGTTCTATAAATAATTTAAATATATTGTTAAGACTAAAAGTAAAGAAATGTATATAACTAAATTACTTGATATTCAATCCGATATCTTCATTTCGCATGAACTAGTTATTGAATAACATTTTTGGCATTTGTATGGTACGTAGTAAAAGGGTTATATTTTTAGTGTTAAGGATTTTGTAGTTAGGTTGCTGACTATTTACTGTGTACGCAAAATAAAAAAAATATATCAATTTATATAAATGCCGAGATTATGCTCTTATAATATAAATGTCAGAGAATAAAGAGAAATGCCGCGTTTGGATTCATTAATAAATATTTGACTTAAGCCAAAAATTATGTTCATTTCAAGCAGTTTTCAAAAATCAAATGTCTTTAGTTGCAGTTAATATATATTTTTTTTTAATTAATTAAAATATTCTAATTACATTTCCACGCTGTATTATAAGGTTTTGCTTTGAAATCGATAAATATCCTGATATAATTTCATTGTATAGCCTACCGTGCCATCGTTTCTCTATGATTAATATTAGCCCCATGGGAGAGTAACTTAAAAAATATTCCAACACTTTTGTAATAAATACAATTTAATTATGTATATTATAAAAGTGCTGGAATATTTTTTAAGTGTACTATCCCGTGGGGTTAATAATAAATTGCTTCTCTTTATTTATTTATTTATACATTTGCATTCCATAGTGTTACAATAAAGGTTAACATAGTATTATTCCAAGAGCACTATGGACCCTGATGGGTGCAGCAAGCTACAATGAGAAGCAGTGGCATTAACAGATTTTAATTATTTTGTATAATATATTATTTTTCTGATTCCTAAGTTATCTGGCAAATATTCATGGACATTTTTATTTTTTATTAGTAATTTTTTTTAAGTTATGTATAAACATTTTATCTATCTTTAGATTTTTCAAATATTCGGGTAGTTTTTTGTATATTTTTATAGACATTGCCAGAGAACCAGATGAGTGCAAAGTGCAAGTGCTTTTGTAATGTGTAGCGCTCTCTCTTGTCATTAATGTTGCTCTGTGGTGAATATGATGATGTAGTAAAAGTAGGGTGAAATTGTTTGTATGGCTAAATTTAACAAAAACAACAACAAAAATCCTGGACTATTCACACAGCGCTAAATATTTATATGTAGCGTTGTCTCAAGTTTTTTATAAATATATAGGTACCTAATGTACATAGAAAACATTCAGGCCAATATGGTTACACCGTGTGAGGAATCGCATTCCACTATCATCCTCTAAAAAAAACCTGTGGAAAGTAAGGCCGTATTACCGATACTGTATTATTCAAGCATTGTATTATATCAAATGGAATATTCAATTAAGGAAATTTTGGAAGTATCTGTATTATATTAGTGTATTATTATTATATTACTCAGTAATTAATGGAAGGAATGGTTAATAATGTAGCCTATTCGCCCCATTGCTATGTACTCTCTATAAAGTCAACTTCCACGCGGTCTTTCTTGGAAACCTCTGTGATTAATTCCAAGTAAATTCACAACAATGTGTTAAACGATCTTACTTCATATTTATCCTGTTACCCTCTTTCGATACGGCAGATCATTTTCATACATTAAATAATTATATTTTATTTGATCTCGAAGTCTATACTGCCACAACAGATGACCGTTGGGGCAGTAAAGTCCTCGAGTGGTGACCACGAACCGGAATGCGTATGGGAAGGCCTCCAGCAAGGTGGACAACAAGATCTAGTCAAGATCGCTGGAAGGTGTTGGATGCGAGCAGCGAAGAGCCGATCGTCGTTTTAGGGGGAGGCCTTTGTTAGGCGGTTGACGTCTTCCGGGCTGAAATGATGATGATGATGATAATGATGATTTGATTTGATACTCAGTGATAGATAGAGAGAATTGTTTGTAGGTATACACAATAATATTTAAACAGTCAGTCTTCTGTTATATGAAGTTGTAGGTGTCCCCTGAGAATGATCCTGATAAAATCGTCATACTGAACTACATAATCCATTCATTTCATATTCTACTGCTGGTAGAGACCATCATTGCAAAGAAATTATGATTGCACCATTATCAGCAAAATAAGACCTCTTTTACTAATAGGTAGCAATGAAACTGAGTCCTCATTGGATACCGCAAAATATGAAAAGTCATCAATTATGCCATTCAAGTCAAATAAAAAAAGCTTTCTTACTAAATCAATCGAATGACTGAGCAATTTCTACGAAAGGTTAAAGTAATATCGTAGTTTCGGACTATAATATACTTTACGTAAACTTATGTAGTTTCATCAATATTAACTTCTAGATCTCGTTGATAGCATAGCTCTATCTGGATGATACATTCAAAATATTGTGATTTTTTTCCATTGCTACATCCCTAGTTATTACCAACTCGGTATATGTCACATGTCTCGGACTTATGCTAACCATCTTTGGCATCTGCCCAATCATATTCTTCGAGAAGCGACTGCAGTATGACAACTTTTAAAAGCTTTATTTCAATATATAAAAATAAAATCAGTGTTACAGTTCACAATAAGATTACAACATAGGATAAACAGATTTTATTTAAGCTATATTCTGACAGTGAAAGCACACGCCCTAGCTGAAGAAAGCTTGATAGGGCGGGCGACTTCCTCTATAGTGGCGCCTCTAGCGTTTCTCGCTAGGAACTAGGCGCTGCAAGTCTATTGGCCTGCTGGCGTGACGTCACTCAACGTGTAACCAATACGGCGGGAGCGCGCTCGTAGCCGGCCGCAGTCCTCGTCGCCGCGCCTTCGTATGAGCCGTGTGTCGCTGTCGGCATCCCCCCGCGCCCCGCGACGAGCCTTCTCGCCCGCATTCTAGTTGTGGGTGTCGCGCCGTGCAGTCCTCGCGAGTGCCGCTGAACTCTGTGCGCCGTTTGTGAGTGCTATAATTCCCGGTCGAGTGTCAGTGTGCAGGAGGAACCAGTAGCCCGCCGCAGAGGATGTTAACAGCTCACGGTGAGTGATAAATAGCATATCGATAGATATAGTCTAGTGACAGTCCACGTGAACGCGCTCTATCTATAAAATGTAAACATGCCACTAATTTGATTTGATGATATCGCTACTTATAACTGAGAGAGTACGCATCCGGCGATTCAGTTGCGGTTGCAAATTAACAATAAAGCAAACGGGACTGCGCAAGACGGACGAGATTGTTCAGTTCCTGCAAGATTACGGACGTGCTAGTTTCGACGTGACGATATCGATAAATTGATGTCAACCATAGCCCCACTTGCACAGTGAATATTTGATGTTAACCTTGTATTGGTTCAGGGCTGACGATAGCACGATAACGCGACCTTGAGGCGAAGTCTCGCGAATGCCGGCCGGCGCTGGAGCGCGCCAGCTCGCGGAAAATGTCCAGACAAACAACGATAATAGTGGCAAACATAATGATAATGCTGCTAGTGTGAGAGACCCGTACAGGAAACTGAACGGCCAAAAACGTTCTATAAATGCTTAATCAAAACGTTACTTGGTAGCTAATTTAAAACTCATTTGCTTTAAATCGAGCGAGGAATTTAAATTGAAAGCTGATAACAAAGTAATAGAGGGCACTACTTGTACCGATATTGACAAAGTGGAAAATAAAAGACTTACACTTAGCACTTTTGGATGCGTTTCAATTAAGAATAAGTGATTCTGTCTAAATGACTAATAAAGTCATACAATGAGTAATTCACACGAGCATAAACAACTTTTTGTTTTTTTATTATTATGATAATATTAAAGGATGCTAAATCAGCAAACCGTGTCTATATCCAAATCTCATTTGCAAGCGTACGCTAAATTAACTACTAGTCGCTGTAAATTGTTATAGTCAATTTCTATAGCAATATTTCCACTACGGCTGTTGCATTTTTTTATGTCAGTAGATACAAGTCTGTCCGGTTGAGATACCTCGATACGGTCAGGTTCGAGTTGTGTTAGTCCCACGCCTTGTTCCACATGCTCATTTCTTTTCATTCGCAATTGGAGCGGTCACTATATGCACTCATACTGTTGTTACGAGCAATTTTTTTTTGCATATAAATATTCAGTCAAATATAACTGATTCCAATTAGAAATACATATAAATAAATAATAAAACGATTAAGTATATTATATTTAATGTAAATAAAATAAAAATAATGCTTATATTATCAGTATCACTGGCATATTTCCAACAATTCCACAAAACTTATAACGACGCAAAAAAAACGAAAAACAGAACTACAAAAATTAAGAAGATTTGGGATTCTCATTCGCACTTACGCACTCGAATGTTGAAAGAGCGGTTGCCATATACAATGGCGCGCTCTGTCAGATAAGTGTACGCCGCGTATGTGCGAAAGAGACGAAGATAATTCGCATCGACTCAGCGAACCGGCCATGCGAGATGCTCAGTCGTATCATAAATATTAATCAGGCGCTGGTGTCAACAGCCACCGCGTAACGTGACACCGGCACGATCCGCTGCTAGCCTGGTACACTGAGAAGTAGCTAAGCGAGACTATCAGAAAATATAGCTCAAGCCTCAAACATGTCTGGACCAATAAAACTTTGTTTATATTATTTTATTTTCAATTAGTGTACTCTACTAATAGTTTTAAGAAAAAACAGCTCTATTAAATGAAATGCATATTTTTGAGGTGGAACAATGCAAGTTCAGAATTTCAAACAATTCTGTTTACAAGACGCACCAAGAAAAAAAATATTTTCGAATCTTAATTGTATTAATTACGCTTAGGTCAATATGAACACTAGTTCATATATATTTGTAATGGATAATTTAATAATTATTCTAAACTGAAACTTGTGTATATATCAGTAATACTGTATTACCCGGAAAATGTCTAAAACTAGGTACCTAATTAATAAAATAATAATGATGTAATTTTCTATTATTTACTTAATTAGTTTTCTCTTGCATAGGCTCTAACTCATGCTGTTACTCTTGATAATGTTATCATTTGCACATCCGGTTATGCTTACGCATTCAGCCATGACCTGCCCTACAACTCCCTTACTGTGATTGGTGAATGCACCATAGTTTTATAACATACTTTTGCATGTTTAATTAAAATAAATTCAATAATGGTAGAATATTTAAAACTAACTAACTCGGAAAACGTCGTTCCATAATATAAATTATAATATTTCAGCAAATAAATATTTCTGAATAGGACCACCCTTATCATCTACATAAAATAGTCTATAACTTGTATGGAATAAAAATACTATCAAATAAATAAGCTACTATGACTTACATAGACTTAATATCTTTTTTATCTATAAAAATATAGCGTTATGTTATCAGTACTACTCGTGTACCCTAAAATAATTAACATTTAATAAAGTATTCATTATTCCAATACTATAATCGGAAGTTACTTGTTTCTTTGTAATTTATAGGTACATGAATTTTACATAAACTGACAAAACCAGTTTTATTTACCATCCTCTCGAGAGACAATAAAAGACAACATAGAACAAATTTTCTCGGCAATATTTAAATTATGCAGTATCCAAATTGTTTAAAATGTAACTCTAATTCTATTTATTCCACATTCTAGGTGTATCAGAAGTTAATGAATGATTTGCCTCTTAGCTTTGAGAACTACTAGGATTGTAGGATACAGGTTATTTATTGTCACATATATAATTTCATTGAAACTACCTTACTTAATAGATAAGGATTTTTAACAAATAGAATGAAACTCTTGTACATAATTATTGCACCGTCTGACTCTACTTATATGAAATATTTCGCTACGTAATTTTTATCTCCCAAGTTTTAGTTAATAGGCGTAATAAAATGTATGCAGTAAGCAAATACTCTCTTGCTTGTCAGATTGTGTACACCACAAATGCACACAATATACAATAAATCTGTAATAAACAGATAAGTAATGCTCTTGAATGCCTTATAAAATGATATGAGCAGAAAGGTTGTTAAAACGTAATTAAAAGCAAGTTACCAGTATCGTCCGTGGAACTGGTTAGGGATGATAAAGCTTTAATTACACAAGTTCTAAGTTTAATATCAAAAAGTAAATGCATCATTATAATACTAACTTTTAAACCATTTTAACTTTCAATGTTGTTCATGTGTGGTAATAAAATATATTAAGTGTAACGGATGTTATAATGATCAAATAGCAGCAATTATCAATTTGTCCTTCGGTTATTTTCGATTACAATTTCTCAATCTATTCCAATATCCATAAATTCAAATTTTTCTAGTTCTATTACATTTAGAACTCTTTCGTTTTGGACGTTTGTTAAATCTTAATATCTCTTGTTTACTGATTCATTTAGCAAATCACCTAATTTATAAATTGGACATTTTATAAATTCTGTTAATGTTATAGAATTTCCAATTGTTATTACTAAGACTTTAGTATATGGTATCTTTCATCGGTCATCTTTCGGTGTAGAGCTGCAATGCAAGACGCGATACAATGTTTTCAACAATTTCGATCGAATTGTATAATTAAATCTCAAATATGAAATAGTTATTGGGTCACTCACTTATGATTACTTCATCATAGTTCTTTCATATGATGAGCTATTACCAAAATGTTAGATTCTATACAACTATTACCTTCACGTAATGGGCACGTAAACACTGCAACGCAAAACAAAACTTAATGGCATGTAGATATGAAATTATATTTAATAGCTTACTTGTTCTTAACTTTAGCCAGACTGGAGATCAAGAAGAGGCCGTTAACTTTTTGTCCAACAACGTTGCGTGTGAGACCATCTGTGAAGTTTTTGCATGCGTGTGTGTGTTTGTAACTTTTTTTTCTCGAATGTGTGGCGTCAGCCTGCTCGTGGTTCTTCGTCGTACTTGTTAACTGTTTCTTGTTTTTGTTTTATTATTATTATTGCCACTAGAAGCAAGTAAAACAACATTTTGTTCATCTACGTCTACTTGTTTATCAGTAAATTTTTCTCTTTTTATTTATGTTTATAATTTAATAATCTACAATTCATTACAATTATTTCTCTTGTTGATAATATTTAATATAAGAATGTTCTTATTATTTACTTTATAGTCTAAAACAATTTAGATAACATTGACATTAAGAATAATGAGCATTCTAATGATTAGTGATTAACTTAAAACTGTTTGCATCTTCAGGATTATAACTGACACTTTCACAGTAATACGTTTTCCGTCTTCATAATTATATTATATGGACGATGTTTTGTTGTCTTGAGTGATATACTAATTGGTAATTATTCAACATTTATTATCTTTATATTTACTTTTGATTTTATTGACCTTATTCACTAATTGTTAGAACTTGGGAATAACAGAAAAAATGTTAAAGTGTAAATTAGTATTTAGCAACCGCTATTAATCAAAGTGTAGCATTAGTAAAGTGTTAATTCGACGCTAGACGCACAGGTTCAAGCACGTTAGTATGCACGCTGTGAGGCTATTGAAGAATGCATGGTACATGCAAAACAAAGCTCTCTTATACTGTAATACGAACTATATTGTTACGGAAGGAAGCTCGTTATTTATAATCTTTTTCAGCCGAGCCGGCAGTAATAAGAGTCACGAGTTGTTACGTAATACGGACAATCTTGTCTAGTTCATGTGGAATACTAATACGGAGTAATGTGTATTGCGTATTTTTTTTATACATTTTGTGATAAATAATACATCGAGTGAAATAAATCACAGATTAGTTACGTCTTTGTATCTCAATGAAGTTCGAGCAACAACACATATGTTACTACTCTAGGACTGAAATAAAACTCTTTGTTTAATTAGTGTAATAGTATAAATATATTAATAATAATAATATCTCACGACAATTCACACAGCGCCATCTAGTCCAACAACACAGACTAAACAAACTAACAGACACAGACAACTGATATAAATACATGGATATATTTTTTTGTACAATTCTGGGTATTTTCTAAGTATAATATGTATTTAACATATTATACTT